ATGCTTGCCCGAAGGGGTGCGTCCTATTTAGGAAAGAATACGTGGAAGCAAAGTACTGTCCAAAGTGTAAATCCTCTAGGTTCCTGGAGGTAGATTCTGGTGATGGCCAGAAGAGGCAGCTTGACATTCCCGTGACAATCTTACGGCACCTTCCGCTCATACCGAGGATCCAACGGCTATACATGACTGAGGAATCCGCAAAACTGATGACATGACACAAAAATGGCAAACGATACAATCCTGACAGGATGGTACATGCATCCGATGGTGAAGCATGGACCCACTTTGATGGCATTCATCATGAGAAAGCTAAAGAGGCTCGTAATGTACGTATTGCGCTGGCAACAGATGGGTTCAATCCTTATGGAATGATGGCTACCCCATACACATGTTGGCCCGTGTTCGTTATCCCCCTCAATCTCCCCCCGGCGTATGCTTTCAACGACAAAACGTATTCTTGTCGTTGATAATTCCTGGACACCCGGGGAATAATATGGGTGTGTTCATGGAGCCTGTGATTGATGAATTGGTCCGTGCTTGGGAGGAAGGGGTATGAACATACGACCGAGCCTACAAAGAAAAACTTCAAAATGCATGTTTGGTACCACTACTCCCTGCATGACTTCTTGGCGTATGGGATATTCTGCGCATGGTGTGTTCACGGGAAGTTCCCATGCCCAGTATGCAAGGAAGGTCTGATGTTCATTTGGTTGCAGAAGGGTGGCAAGTATTCATCGTTCAACAAACATCGGCAATTCCTCCCTCTTGACCATGCATTCAGACAAGACATAAAGAACTTTACAAAAGGTGTCGTAGTGACAGACCCTACACCACCGATAATGACTGGTGCCATGGTTCGTGAACAAATAGATGGTCTCATGGTCAATCCAGAAGGTGGCTTTGTGGGACATGGAGAGCAACATATGTGGACTCATAAGTTGGGCTTGACTCGGCTCCCCTATTTTGATGACTTTCTTCTTCCACACAACATTGATGTAATGCACACTGAAAAGAATGTCGTCGAGGCACTTTGGGCAACAATCATGGACATTTCTGACAAGTCAAAGGACAATGTTAAGGCTAGAGTGGATCTGGCAACGTTATGCGATAGACCAAACCAACATATGAAGCCTCCTAGTCATGGCAAGACATGGAGAAGGCCTAAGGCTGATTTTGTCTTGAGCAAGCCCCAAAGGAGGGAAGTACTAGAATGGATCCAGACGTTAATGTTCCCTGATGGGTATGCAGCTAATCTGAGGAGAGGAGTGAACTTATCTACTATGCGAGTCTTAGGGATGAAGAGTCATGACTACCACATATGGATTGAGCGACTTCTTCCGGCGATGGTTCGAGGCTATGTCCCTGAGCATGTCTGGCTAGTGCTGACAGAGTTGAGCTATTTCTTTTCACCAGCTTTGTGCCAAGGAGTTATCTTGGACCATGATTGCTGACTTGGAAAGAATGGCACCTGTGTTGCTCTATAAGTTGGAGAAGATCTTTCCACCCGGCTTCTTCAATCCGATGCAGCATTTGATTTTGCACCTCCCGTATGAGGCACGAATGGGGGGGCCCGTGCATGGCCGTTGGTGCTATCCAATCGAGAGATGTCTAAAGGTTCTTTGAAAGAAATGTAGAAATAAATGCAAAATCGAGGCTTCCATTGCAGAGGCATACATTCTGGAGGAGGTGGCGAACTTCACAACAACATACTATGGTGACAACCTTCCTAGCATGCATAATCCACCCCCTTGTTACAATGCTGGCGAAAATGAATCGAACCTCAGCCTTTTCCGAGGGCAACTCGAAAGCGCAAGTGCATTGACCCCCAAGACCTTGAATCATGAAGAGTGGTGACATATCATGCTATACGTGTTGACCAACCTTGACGAAGTGGCGCCGTACATGCAGTAAGTTCTCAACGAACTTGTTAAATACGCCATCACTATTCTACATCTAACCCCCTTGTTTCTCGTTGGTACAGGGAATTTCTTCATGAATTCTGGCATCAATCAAGGGATCCTACCCCGCAGCAGGTAGATACCCTTCTTAGACATGGTGTGGGAAATGGAATGCCCGATTTCATTTCTTGGTTCAAACAGAAGGTACCGTCCAATTTAGCTCGTACTTGGTTTGACATTCCAAGTTACTCGTACGTGCGAATAATATAACGATGTATCCTGCTTGAGCTTGCAGGGCCAGAGGGATGCGTCTATGCGTGCCAAGTTGAGACAGGTTGCCGATGGCTTTGCCTATAGGGCCAGGTCATTTTTTGGTTATGACGTGAATGGATATCGCTTTCGCACAACAAGCTACGAGCAGAGTCGGCCCAATCGAACAACCACAAGTTTCAGAGTTTTTACGCCCGACGTTGATGAGGTTGAGTATTATGGAAGAATTGAAGAAATATACGAACTCAAGTTTCATGGTTCCAAACCTTTTAATCCCGTCATATTCAAATGTCATTGGTTTGATCATGAAGTAACGAGACGGACATATTCTAATCTTGGGCTAGTCGAAATTCGACAGGATTCTGTCTTACCAGGAGACGATGTCTATATTGTGGCCCAATAGGCCACGCAAGTTTATTATCTCCCATATGCGTGTCAAACCAAAAGTCATCTTAAGGGTTGGGATATTGTGCACAGGGTATCGCCACACGGTAAAGTGCCTGTCCCCAACGATGAAGATTACAACTTAGACCCAAACACATATGACGGAGAGTTCTTTCAAGAAGAGGGACTAGAAGGGAGGTTTGAGATAGACTTAACCGAAGCGATCGGAATGGAAGTAGACAATGAAACGGTTATTGAAGAGGACGCTGGAGATGAGGTGCAAAATGTGAAGGACTTACAAATGCTTGAGCGATTACATTTAGATAATGACAATGACAACATTGCTCATTCGGATAGTGTTGATTATTTCGACATGATTGATAGTGATGATGAGACTTATGATCTAGCTAATCCCGATCATGAAGATTATTTCTAATACATGTAATACTATGTTATTTTGTAATTACGTTTTGTTTATTTTGCAACTCTTTCTAAGTACTTCTTGTTTATCTGTACATATTGGTTTACTCTTTTTAATTACAGGTGATTGAACAAAGATAGTGAGCGGTGGGATGAGGAAGCTAGGTGATGATACTTGTGGTTGTTAATGGTACTTCTATTTACAATTGTGGTTGTAGATGATGGAGCACTTGGATTACTTGTGAACTTATTTGTGATATATTGTGAGACATGTGACGATTGTGATATATATGTGGTGTTGGATATCTGTGCTGTTGATGATATATATGTGATGTTGGTAATGTTTGTTATATATATCTTCTGTTTGTTTGGATGGAATGTAAAAAACAAATAAAAAAGACGGTTTTCAGTCACTTTGCCGAGTGCAATGGCCATGACACTCGACAAAGTGACGATATGGGAACATGCTTTGCCGAGTGCCACGGGCCAGGCACTCGGCAAAGGTGGCCTGTTTGTCGAGTGTCTTGCCGGTGGCACTCGACATAGTGTCCACGTTTGCTGAGTGTTTGAGTCAACGACGCTCGGCAAAGAGACGACCTTTGCCGAATGCTTGACCTTGACACTCGGCATTTGCCGAGTGTCAGATTAGTACTCGGCAAAGGCTTTGCCGAGTGCTCGATAAAATGCACTCGGCAAAGAGGTATTTGCCGATCAATTGTTTACCGAGCGCTCTTTGCCGAGTATAACACTCGTATATCGGTCTTTGCCGGCACTCGGCAAAGAAGCCGCCTCCGGTAGTGTACAACGGAGAGCTAGGCTAGCATAAGTGCCTTGCTAATGCCAGTTTGCTTTGCCTGCTTAATTAGTAGCAGACATTGGTGTCCACAAATACTGTGCATGTACACTGCATTATATTCTGTAATGAGACGCTAGCTTACGTCTAGTTTGGACCGACAAGCTTCCTCGTAACACAGGAATGAACTTCTTTGGAGTTCGGATTCATAACAATTGTATAGAACAACACTATAAAAATACCAAATTAACGTCGGAAGGTTAGACGTTAAAGATTTCTAATGAAGTGTTGGTCGCTATATCTCATTTTACCTACAGACCATCGGTCACTAATTCTATTTCACTTCAATGTTTGAACGATCGGTTATTATATCTTACTTTTAACGACCCACCGCGCGTCCCCACAAATCGACTGCACTTCCGCGTCATAATTGGGCCTCCTTCCCGCTTTAATTTTTTTTCCCAGCCCGCCATTCCAGCCCGCCAAGGCGCCAACACAGGGCCTATCTCTTAATAATTAAAAAAAACGGCGCCTATCTCTATACCCGCCTGCGCTCTCAGCCCAATTCCCCACCCTCAGCATCACGCACACTACCCCGCCGCCGCACGCTGTTTCATCGAATCGAAGAAAAAAAAAAAAAAGCGCCGCCTCCGCCGGTCCCTGCGAGCGAGCCGCCCCCTGCGGACTGCCCGCCACCCTCGGCCGGCCTCCGGTCGCCCTCGACGGTAGCCTCCTCCGCGCGCTCAGCAGCTGCTGGCGACCTCAGCTCGGCTCCTCCCGGCGGCGACCGCAGCTCGGCCGGCGACCTCAGCTCGCCTATCCGCGCCGGCGACCTCAAATCTTCCCAAGACGCCGTCTCCAGGTCAGCACAGTCGGTAAACTCAGCTCGCCCCTCCCTCCGCCCCCGTCACTGACCTCAGCCCCACTCCCCCATCCCCACGGACGGCGCCCCCACCCCCTCCGGGTTGCTCTGCACCCGCACCTCCACCCCCTCCGGGTTCCTCCGTTCCTCTGCACTACCGTCATAGCCAGCTCCCCCTGTCTCCCTCCACACGGCCAGATCCAAAGCAGGAAGGGAGCCACAATCATCCTCTACACTTGTGTTTGCTGCTGTTGACTGCTCTTCATTCAATTCTTTTTGGTGGATTTGTAGCAGCTCGATCTGGCAAGTGGTGAAGCTGCTGTTCAGCATCACTAACAGCAGAAAATTTGACAAGTGCACACACCGACCATCCATGCTTTCAGGACTGTGGCTTCAGGTCAGCGTGGTCTAATTTCCTGTGTTTTTTTTTGTGCTATAGAGATGAAATGTCAAACTAGCAGTATCAGTATGTGACTATGTGTGCTACTATATGAACACGGGCTGCAGTACAAGATTTGATGCAGATAAGTAGATCAGCAGTAGTATTTTCTTTGATGCAGAACTACCAGCCATGCATTTTAACGAGACTCGATTATGTGATAATTAATTGTAAATTTAAGAGCATTATATATGTATGTTCGTTCAGTCATTCATCCAGTCATGTACAAAAATAAAAACAGCACTATAGTACCAGTCAGCTTAGCTATCAGTTTTTCTTTGTGCTCTGCAGCATGTCAGTACACCTGTAGATCATCTCGTCACCTCCTCATTAATAACTAAATCATGGATCTGTGGTTCATCTATTGCAGGCAGCAGGTTGTATCGTGGTTGGCTGAGGCGTACAACAAGAAGGTGCTCCTTGGATCTCTGCCCTAAGAAAAGCCACAGCATCTACAGGCTCCTCCTCACCAAGCACTATGTAATGTTCTCACTATTTCCCAATTTTTTTGCTTCTAGTCCAATAGAGATTTTTTAATGAATACAATTCTCATAAATACATTGTTTGCTTCAGATTGGCAAAGATGTTATACTCTATGCACTCCAGAGAGAAGATCAACCTGTGGCTAGGGGAGTAGTTATTTCAGTTAATCCTAGCACCATGCATGCAGGACAGGCTCTTGGAAGGAAACACTGTGAAGTTGTTATCAAGCTTGTGATAAAAAGGGATGCAAAGCTACCTTGCCCATATCCTGGTGTGCTAGAGATGGCTGATGCTAAGGACCTGTCAATTGCATGGCCATATAACAGGGTAACAAGCAACACTTGTCATTGTTTGTTGTTTTCATATGTAATGAGTGCCCAGATTTTCTAACCATTGATATTTCTAACAGCTCAAGGTTAGCAAGACTAAAAAATCATCCCATGGAACAGGTAAGCAAGTGTGCAGTCTGATTTAAGTCCCTTGGAATCTTGAAAATCCTGAAGCTTGTATGCTCATTACATTTGTGTAGCTGCAATAGCTGGTAGGTTTACATTGAACAGGTTTACTGGGATGTGTTCATTCCCTGAGTAGATGTGATCCCTGCTGTGGCTGCGTGCATAGTGCCTGCTGGGTTGAAACCATAGTAGATCAATGTATTACCTGGTGGCTGTGAAATGAAATCTGAAATTAATATGCATCATAAATGAATTTTGATTCAATGAATACCAATTGTGCTGTTTGCTGCCTTGTGCTGGGTGCTGGTGTTGGTGCCTCCTGCTGATTGGTGCCTTTTGTGAAGTTTTTGGTTGTGTTTTTTTTTGATGAATTTCAACTTTTATTTACAGGTGGTGGGAGGAAATAGCTGGAAGTAGACTGCAGCCACTGATTGGATCAAAGTGCTCATGACGACATGTTTTGGACATCCTAGCTATAGATGAAAACTTTTGTTTGGACTTACTAGAGGTGGATCATTTTGTAAAGAGTGGAAGCAAACTATGAGATATGGGTTGTGGAACCGAATATCTCTAGTACGTCTAGCATTTTGGCCAAACTTATTTCATCTTAGCTCTTGTTTGCCATGAATTGTGTGTAAAATGGCATGACATATTATGATGGCTTTAATATAACTTGTGAGCTTTGGTCCAGTTTATATGTGTTCCATGACTGTGTATTGTTTGAATGTATGACATGGTTAGTGTTGATTGTATGGTTAACATATAAACAACATATGATATTATATGTTAATTTTTTTGTATCTATAGCGTTGGGCAGTTGGTCCCTATAAATATATATCATCAGACAGTCCGTCGTTATAAGTTTATAAAAAGGCGTTAGAACATCTGTCGTTATATCTTTTACATAACGTTAGACGGTCGGTCGTTAAAAGTCGGTTGGACGTTAAAAGTTTATAACGACGCCACTATCAACGGCAGATATAAGTGTCGCTATAGGTTTATAACAACAGACCGTAGGTCGCTGAAACAGCTTATAACGACCCACCAGGCGACGCTAAATCTGGGTTGTGGTATAGTGCACGTTGCAAGATCCGGATTGTTTTTTCTCACAACAGAATTTATTAGATATCTAACAGTGTTGTCAGTCAGACTATGGGATGATCGATGCGTGAGTGGCTAGAAAGACGGGATTGTTGCACTTGCACTCCTTGAGATTGTTGATTGTGTACAATATATATTTTTTAAAAAAAATAAGTTGTTGAATGACTGGTTTTGTTTATTCAATCCATCCTTAGAATTCTGCTGCAAAATGCCCCCGTTTAGCTCTACTTCTGAAATAGATGACGAGTAAGCTTTGCCAAGCAGGGCTGATACATGGTCTCAATAACCTCTTGGATCATTGTTTTCCTAGTTTAGTTGCATGCTAATGAATCATATAAAGACGTGACCAATGATAAAACTAAATCTCTCAAAAAATAAACTTTCTTCGTCTAAGTATATTGCGAGACTGAAAGTGGCAGTGCTTAATCCTGACCTCATCCCTGACCTTGTGGATGTTGTCATTGGGGATTTTGTTTATGAGCTACAATTCAGAGTTGAAAAAGATATAACTGATGGTGAGTCCCAGGTCATTGACATGGACTCTACCATGGATGAGGACAAAGCCCCAGAAAAAAAGGAACCGGAGAATATGGATCATGATGCTAACAAAACAACAGATGATCCAGCTGGTAAAGCACCTAGTAAACAGACCAATTCTTCAGTTGCACCAAGTGGGCAGCACAAGTCCAAGGCTGTGACAGGAGCATCCACTGAGAGCATGGTCATGGCAGCTAAGCTTGCAGGAGTCGCTGGCGTCCAGCAGGATTTGGCGGCTACTGTAGGTGCAGTACTCCAGCATTCAAACTTGGAAGTTATAGAATCTGCTTGAGTGGGAGAGAAGAGTACATACAAGCCTGTAGTACTGCTCTCTCCATGTGGGATGATTCCAGATGGTTCGGCACAGTGGAAAGCTAGTTTGTTGCAGTCTAAAACTTTGAACGGTGGGGCAGTGTCACCGGTGAGAGCTAGTAAGAGAAACGTGTCTACTTCGGACCAAGACTCTTTGGAGAAGGCGTTGAAGTTAAAAGCACGCAAAAACTTGAATGCATCTTCAGTCAAAGGTAATGAGGCTTTGCCACACTCTTTTGATATTCTCGATGATTCTATGTTGCTGCATACAACTAGCTCGTTAGGAATCTCTCTTGGCTCTAATGAACAAGAAGTGTCTCTTTCTTTGAAAAGTTTAAGAGATATTGAATTTGCTAGAATGTCAACAAACAATAGTTTAGAGGAAAAAAGTAAAGCTATGTTGGACGATACTTCCACCGTTTGTTCCTTAGAAGAAAACATGGACCTAGAGGCTTTAAATTTAATTTGGGTAGAAATTTCTGAAGACCTAGGTGATGGGGGTTGTGACCCTTTGTGTCTACAGACCCCTATATCACATTCCAAAAAATCTAGTTCCAAGCTTAATAAGAAAAAAATTAGACACCATTCTAGATGAAAGAATTTTTTTGGAATTGCAAAGGGTTTGCTGATACGAAAAAATATAGGTTCCTATCCGACTTGACAAAAGAAAAGGACTTAGATTTTATTGCATTATCGGAGACCGGGAGAGCCAACTTTCCGCAATCGACCTTGAATAATATCTGCGCGGGCAGAGATTTTCTATGGCATTGCATGGCTCCGAGGGGTCGGTCCGGTGGTATGATTCTAGGAATAAATCCTTTAACTTTTGACATTGGCCAGATAGAAGAAGGATATTTTTTTATTCGGTTCAAATTACGACATAAGGAGGATGACTTCAAGTTTAATTTAATCTCAGTATATGGCCCAGCTCAGTTAGATCTCAAATCACATTTCTTATCTGAGTTGGTTAGAGTATGTTCAAAAGAGACCGTACCTATTATCATAGGTGGTGATTTCAACATTATTCGTAGCCCAAATGAGAAAAATAATGAAAACTACAACGACAGATGGCCTTTTCTTTTTAATGCTATTATTGACACGTTAAATCTTAGAGAGTTGGAGATGGCATGAAGAAAATTTACTTGGGCTAATCACCTGCAAAATCAGACCTTTGAGAAGTTGGATAGAATTCTAGTTTGTACGGAATTTGAATCCAAATATCCGCTTACAACCGTCCATGCTTTAAATAGAGAGATCTCTGATCACACTCCACTCTTATGTAGTACAAATAGCCCATCTCAGACTTACCAACCCTAGTTCAAGTTTGAACTGGGATGGTTGCTTAGAGATGGATTTTGTGACATGGTGCGAGATGTGTGGCATAGTGTTCTGGTCGACGGCAGTCCCTTAGAGAGGTGGCAAGCAAAGATCAGGAGACTTCGCCAATACCTCAGAGGCTGGGCGAAAAATGTGAGTGGCACTTATAAGAAAGAAAAGAAGGAACTGCTAGACAAACTCGATGAGCTAGATAAGAAGGCAGAGAACCTCCTGCTGAATGAGACGGAGTTAAATTTGAAACATGTGCTAAGTGAGAGACTCGCTGAATTACTTAGAGGAGGAAGTTAAATGGTACCAAAGGGCAAAGGTTAAGCACCTACTGGAAGGGGATGCTAATACTAAATATTTTCATTTGTTGGCTAATGGTAGGCACCGGAAAACTCGTATTTTCCAGTTGGAGGACGGTGACACTATAATAGATGGTGATGCTCAATTAAAGCAGCATATTACCAACTATTATAAAAACCTGTTTGGCCCACCAGATAACTCTAATATGAAATTAGATGAACACCTTGTTCAGGATATTCCACAAGTATCTGAACTGGAAAATGAGTACCTGACTGATGTATTCACAGAGTTTGAGGTCAGGGCAGCAATTTTTCAGATGGAACATAATAAGGCACCGGGCCCAGATGGTTTTCCACCAGAGTTTTATCAGGTCTTCTGGGACATGGTAAAAGAAGATCTGATGGCTATGTTTATGGAATTTCATGAGGGGAACTTGCCTTTGCATAGTCTCAACTTTGGAACTATAATTTTATTACCAAAAAAGAAAGATGCGAAAGTCATTCAACAATACAGACCTATATGTTTGTTAAATGTTTCTTTCAAGATCTTTAACAAAGTTGCGACAAATAGACTATCTACTATTGCCCAGAAGATTATTAGACCAACACAAACAGCCTTTCTTCCAGGAAGAAACATTATGGAGGGCGCAGTGATACTTCATGAGACAATCCATGAACTTCACTCGAAAAAACATGATGGGATAATCTTTAAAATGGATTTTGAAAAGGCTTATGACAAAGTAAAATGGGACTTCCTACAACAAACTTTAAGGATGAAGGGCTTCTCGCATAAGTGGTGTTCGTGGGTGCAGCAGTTTACACAGGGAGGAAATATAAACATTAAAGTGAATGACCAGCTTGGCTCATACTTGCAAACAAAAAAAAGGATTAAGGCAAGGTGACCCAATGTCTCCAATACTATTTAATATAGTGGTGGATATGCTGGCCATACAAATTGCTAGAGCTAAGGAAGCAGGTCAGGTAGAAGGAGTCATTCCCTATCTTATCCAAGATGGGTTGTCTATCCTACAGTATGCGTATGACACTGTGATTTTTATGAGTCACGATGTTCAGAAGGCGGTTAATATAAAATTAATTCTAAGCACTTTTGAACAACTATCGGGTGCTCAAAATTAATTTTCACAAGAGCGAAATCTTTTGTTTTGGTAAAGCAAGGGATCATGAGGTGTTTTATTCGTAGTTGTTTAGATGTGGATTGGACAAATATCCCTTTCGCTACCTGGGTTTGCCTATGCACACTAGGAAATTGAGTAATAAAGATTGGAGGGTAATAGAAAATAGAATTGAAAACAAGCTTAGTGGGTGGAAAGGAAAGATGCTTTCAGTAGGAGGCCGCTTGGTCCTAATAAACTCGGTGCTCTCTAGCTTACCGATGTTTATGCTGTCATTCTTTGAAATCCCAAAAGGAGTTTTGGAGAAGATCGACTGCTTTAGATCAAGATTCTACTAGCAAAGCGAACAACACAAGCGCAAATATAGATTGGCCAAATGGGAAATCTTGTGCCAACCAAAATTACAAGGTGGCCTAGGTATTCATAATTTAGAGTTACAAAACAAATGTTTGTTGAGTAAGTGGCTTTTCAAACTTTTAAATGAGGATGGCTTGTGGCAAGAGCTATTGAGAAATAAATACTTAAAAGACAAGACTTTAGGGGGCTGTACAAAAAGACCAACATATTCTCATTTTTGGAAAGGTCTGATGAATGTCAAAGACACTTTCATGAGTTTTGGTTCATTCAAAGTAAAAGACGGGTCACAGACTCGTTTTTGGATGGACACTTGGTTGGGTAGTCAACCTCTCAAAGATAAATTTCCCGCGTTGTTCAACATTGTGAGAAGAAAGCAAGATTCTATGGCAAAAGTACTTGCATCAGTCCCGCTGAACATTTCCTTTCGCCGCAATCTAGCGGGTTGGAACCTGAGGGACTGGCATAGAATCGTTGCATCTCTACAAGATGTGAACTTACAAGAAGAAAGAGATGTTTTTATTTGGACATTGCATTCATCAGGTAGCTTTTCTGTTAAATCTTTGTATGCTGCGTTAATTAACAATAGGGTCAGAGTGTCACAAGATTTATGGCAGATCAAAATTCCTACAAGAATTAAAATATTCTTATGGTATCTAAAAAGAGGTGTCATTTTAACCAAGGACAACCTTGCCCATCGTAACTAGAATGGTGACAAAAGATGCTGCTTCTGTCACTGCCCAGAAACCATTCAACACCTCTTTTTTTAATGTTATTATGCCAAATTCCTATGGCACGCTGTACACTTAATGTTTGGGATATCACCCCCCATAGCATAGACGATCTATTTGTTAATTGGTCTAAAGCGGGTGGTAACATACATAATTTATTATTAACAGCGGCATCAGCCTTATGTTGTACAATTTGGATAACAAGAAATGAAGTGGTTTTTGACAAGTGTAGACCGAAAACTTTTTTGCAGGTATTATTCAGGGGAACCCATTGGCTAAGGCAATGGGCAAGACTGCGGCGGCATGATGATCTTCGAGACCAATTGACCCTTGCTGGACAGCATTTGGAGACGTCGGCATTGTATTTTTTTAGTTCCAATGGGTGGTTGTCATCTAGGTTTATTGGTCTATAGTAGTCAGGATCTGCTTCACGCTTTGTTATCCTCGAGTCTGGTTGTAGACTCGTTTTGGTTCTTGTGCGTCGGCTGTCGGCCCAAACTTTTTAATAATTGGCCTGATTCTACCCTGGTGTAGATGAAGCCGGATATAAACTATCCTTTATCTAAAAAAGTATATTGCCAATACATTAAAAGTTGGTTGGCTGCAGTCCAACTGTCGTTGTGGCGGATGGTCGCGCAGGCCTGCGGACAGTTTACTGCATTTGCGACAACCAATTTGAAGGCAGCTCCTCATGGCTGGCGGTCAGCGTGGGGTTTTAGCAATGATTGGTTGGTCTTGTGTGGCGGAGATGGTGACGGCGGCTACCCTTGTGCAGCATCTTGGTGTGGCCGTGCAGTGGCCGGTGTCTGGTGGGATAGTGGCGGCCAATGAAAGTTGACGACGTGCTGATAGGTCACACAAGCCAATCTGCCCGGCTTTGTGATGATGCCGACAATGGTGACATATTCAGCGTTATGTTTCTCGTTGGAAGCATTGTTGTGAGGTCCACCCCTCTTTAGTTTCATTCTCTTGTTTGAAAAACTTAGTGTCGGTATTCTTGTTGACCATGGCGACATCTATGGACGTCGTAACCTCCGTGGAGGCATTGTCATTTGAGAAACCCTCCCCTCTCCCGGTGCACCTACCTCACCTTCGTGTCATCATTAGTTGTGTGGTATTTGTGGTTGGTTGGTTAAG